TATGTGGGTAGAATTCTAAGTCACATCTAGAGAATAGAAAAACCTAAGCTTCATACTGAATAACAATACAAGTATTGGACCTAGAGATTAAATAGTTACGAAACAAAGAGGTTCCCTTAATGACAATATTATAGAGGAACCATAATATTGAGGAAGCAACATGAGAAAAAAAGGTAGAAATGCAGACTAGATATCCCGAATTGTTTAGTTAGAAATTTCAAAGACAAAATTTTTATAAAAAAGGAAGCGTGTAATATCCCGAACATAAGAATGAATAAATTAATATACATTAAACATATGTGAAAATTATCTCGTGTGTCTAGAATAATTGCTAGAAGAGTGTTAGAATATTCGATGTACTTAGGATAATTTTCTTGTACTCGATGAATATTTTATAGGTTTTTCTGTGCATGAATATTATTTTTATGCAAAATAATTGCTTTGAGTATTTTAAATATCTCGTGAGAATTATTCTATATGCATAGAAAAATTACTAAAGAAGTGTAAGAATATTCTATGCACTTAAGTGAATTTTTCCGTGCTTGGTGAATATTTTCTATATGAATAAGTGCATTTTTATGTAAAATAACTATTTTAAGTGTTCAAATGTATGCATAAAAATGATGTTATTGATGAATAAATTACTATAAAAAATGCTTGAATTTATTATGAAAATAAATTATGTTTTGAAAGTGTGTAAAATTAATTATGTGCTTAGAGATTTAATTGAACAAGATTATGGACCTAATTGCATAAAATTAGAGATCCAATTGCATAAAATTAAAAGCTTTACTTATCAAATAAGTTTTGAAATAAATTCACGGAGATATAAAGATGTTAGAAAAGCCTTATGAAAGGATCAAAAGTAGTCAATTAAAATTGGAGGGACCAAAAGTAGGGATTAAATTGAAAAAGTATGATAAATCAAGGGATTAAAATTAACATTTTTGGCCAAATCTTTCCACCTAAACCAGCCACCTCACACCCATATTAAATGATGTAACCAAATGGATAGCTAAAGATTTATGTGATGGAGGGCTAGGATTTAAAAAGGAATGGATGACTAAGATAAACCAAATGAAGGGCTAGGGTTAAAAAAAGAATCAAGGGTGGAGATTAAACCAAATGAATGGTGGATATCAAGTAAACAAGCCAAAAGTCTACCACGCACACCTATAACTTTTGGCCTAAAAGAAAGGAAGAAAATATTGGAAATTTAAAAAAAAAAAAAAAAAAAGAAAAAAACAAGGCAAACTATTGCAAAATTTTCCTAAAAAATTATACACCAAGTTCACCTAAACACTAAAAACATCCATAAAAAACTTAATTAAAACAAAAACTTTAGTTGGAAGATCAAGAATCTCAAAGAGGAAAAAGTTGGTGATTGATCGAATTTTTGAAGGAACAAAAAGGGAAAAGAAAACTCACCTAACAAAGACTAATTTGGAGCTTTGAAGGTAAGTTAATCTTATCTACACCATAATGAGTTGTTATTAAATGTGAATTGTTGGTTTTATACCTTTAATTTAAGTTTAATTGCATAAATTTAGTGAATTAGGATTAGGGTTCTTGATTAGGCCAAATTGGAAAAAACGGATTGAAAGGTGAAATTAATGAAATTGAAGTTGGAATATATTAATTGGACATGAAAAAAAAAAAAAAAAAAACAAAAATTTCCCATCCTAACTCTAGAGGGACCATTCGGGCCCAAATAATAAAATTTAAGGTTTTTGATGGTTTTGTTTAATTGATGTTTAATGGCTCGAAAACATGTTGTTGTAATGTAATTATATGATTTATCATGAGAATTGACCTAAAAATTTAAAAATTAACCTAATTTCACTTGGACACCATTCGGCTCAAATATTGAAATTTTATGGTTTTTAGTGCTTTGTTTATTTGATGATTGGTTGATTGATTTTATGTTATTGAAGTATGAATAGATGATTTAGCATGAGAATTAGCATCAAAATCAAAAAATTCACCAAGTTTCACTAAGCTCCCATTCGGCCAAGATTGGGTGAAATTAGGGTTTTTAATGCTTTTAGTGTGTGAAAGTTTGATGGATATAATTCATGTGCAATTAGGTATTATGGCATGATTTTTTGTGGTTATGAATGATTGATGTATATGGATGCAATATCTTATTAGTTTATTGATTTTGCCAAATGTGATGTGGTATGGTGCACCAAGCTAAATGTTTCATTGAATGAATTGTAATGGATTGAAAGGTAATAATGTTTATGTGCATTTATATGTTGATGAGGTATGAAATTTCATTGCATAAATGCACACCATTCATGGTATCCATTATGTTAATTCATGAGGTTATGCATTTATATTAAAATACATATCCATGTTAAGATCATGGAAATGTTTGAAAGTCATGAAAAGGATTTTCTTCATGATTTTTCAAAAGCAAAGGAAAAGGCTTTCATGGTTCATGACTTTCATGGATCGAGTATGTACAAATGTGCACATTTAGACGTTCGACAAGACCGGACGTGTGCTAACATGTACATTCGGATGCTCAACACCAAACATGTGCGGACGTATACATTTAGACGCTAGGTAGAAGACCAAGTATGTACAAAAGTGTACATTTAGACACTCGGCAAGGTGCGTCCAAGCACATAAAAGATTTTTAGAAAGATCATGGAAAAGATTTCATGGCATGGAAAAAAATTTTAGAAAAGACATGGAAATGATTTTCATATGCATTTCACTTGCATACATATAATGCATGATTTAACTTACCGAGCAATAGATCGGCCAATTCTTGTGATGTAAGGGTGAAGAATTTACAGTTATGGCTATGTTTTCTTCGAAGCTTGTTACCGAGGGGACTCTTACGTCTTTCCAACGCATGTATCTTACCTATGGTTGTAAGATGGACCTACTTCATGTTGTCATACTACTAGTTCTCGGTATTTTGGTGTATGCTTTAGGTATAGCCTCGTTGTTTTATATGACAATAAAAATAATGAATACTAGATGGTTACCTCAAGAAAATGAAAAATAGACTTGTAAATAAATAATCCACTCTTTGTAATAGGATGGTATTAGACTAATGGTCATGTAAAAAAGAAAATAGGTTGTATGTCAACTAATTTTGAACATGTAAAATATGTAATAGCATAGTAATGAATAGTTATAGTTTTATTTAGTTTATTCTTGCATACTACTATTCAATAATAATGATACAAGTGATTAAATTATTAAAAGATGATAATTAATAAAGTAAAAAGGTTAAATGACCGAAAATAACAACTAGAGGATAGAAAAACCTAAACTTCGCACCTAGGGTTCTTAGAAGTCATGCCTAAGAGAGATTGAGTCAAACAATCAAAAGCAAATTGTTGGACATTATTTGATATTATTCCATACCGAATACCGAATCCTATATACTCGTATTTATAGAGTTGTAAAAGTCCAAATTCAATTAGGATAAGGATTCATAAATTTCCAACATAACTATTCCTAATAAGACAAGGAAAACCTATAACTATTCCTATTTTAGAATAGGAAAACTTAATAACTTTAGGACTAATAAAATACTTTAACGAAATACTATAATTTTAGATTTTCCGGCATATATGAAATTACTAAAATACTATTCCTAATTAGACAAGGAAAACCTATAACTATTCCTATTTTAGAATAGGAAAACTTAATAACTTTAGGACTAATAAAATACTTAAACAGAAATACTATAATTTCAGATTTTCTAGCATATCTGAAATTACTAAAATACCCTTATCAATTATTCAAGTTTTGCTTCCTTTGTTGTCTACATCAACACATTTGCTGGGTCATTAGAAAATGTGAAGCCTCACAAGCAAAGAAGTCATAAATCATCCCTTAATTTTACTACTTTTTGGCATAGCCCTCGATTTATTAAGGCATACGATGAAATGCCAAAAACTGAAAAGATAACTAACATGCAGGTTCATATTGAACACGAGACAGAGTCAGAATTCATTGTACCCAGAAAAATAAATAGAGCCAAGAAAATATATCTGCACATTAATTGTTCAGGATATAGGTGAGCTCAGGGACTAGCATTTGTCAACAAACATTCGTAGTATTGAAAACCGTTTTCAGCAAATGAGTCCACATGCCATTTAACAGCAAAAATGTGCAACCCTAAAAATGTAACCACTGGAACAAGAGGCGAGGATCCTCAAGCCAAGATTAGCATCTGTTATCCCATTATACATTGCAACAAAGGAAGAGAGTAAATTGCTAAAACAACATGTCAGAAACAAACTTAGATAAATAATTGATTAATGCGTACCATAATAATATGATGACAGGATTGTGATGCGTTCTGTAGGCTGAAACAAGAGGAGGGGAAAAAAAGTAATTAGCTGAGTGAAACAAAAGGTCAGATACAACAATGCAAATTAGAGTTCTTGGCAAGGAATATTGCAGTCAGACAGAGGTAGTAGATAGAGTCACTCCTCATCACTGCATTAGTGTGAAAGAGGAATAGAACTTACAACTGGGCCCATTGAAAACATCCTAGCATATGTTGCACACCTCAGCTGATCAGAATCAGTTTTGGGTATACATGGTTTAAATATTCACCAAACCAAGAAGCTTCCTCCTAGGGATAGTGCAATACTTGTTGGTTTTTAAATCCAACTAAACCAAACTTGAATGAGAGGACAGATACAGCCTTGACGTGTCTTCTTTGCATTCATATTTCTCTTCACTACCAAGTTATCTAGCATATGACTAGTCACAGCTAAACGACAACATTAGCATGGATGTGTCTGTGTATGTTTCAGTAGGATGCTGACAATTTTGATGATTGCAGAGATTGGATGAATTTGAAAATGCAGAAAATTTTCTTGATTGCATAGATCGAAAGGGGTGAACCATAAACTTTTATGCTATACTTACTTTAAAGAAATAAATCTTCACCTTTAAGAAATAATTCAAATATCCAATTTCTACGTTTCACATCATTCTACTATTGTAAAGCTGAAAGCTTGTCAATACTTTACCATCAAAAAAATCCCCTCCTTATGAGTAGGGAGTTGCTCAAGCTTAGTCAATGTGTCATCGCCTTTGGTAACTTTACCAAATACTGCATACTGAAAAGAAATTGCATCAGCAGTTTCATGTCAAATTGATGTTCAGGAATAATGATTGGAAAACTATGTTTGGCATGTTAAAGTAACATACTTGACCATCTAGATGAGGGGCATTTCCAAGAAGTATTGAGAACGAGGATTGTGCACTGTTTGGATCATCGTATCTACAACAAAGTAAGATGCAACATCATATTAACATATTAAATTTGGATATTAGCAGGGACCGCTCTAGAGCGGTGCTAGTCCAAAGTAACAATGGAATAAATTTAGAACATAAGTACATCACAGGTTGCAGAATACCATCAAATAAATAATTTTGCAAGATTTTTCTTTTAATATTTTGACTATAATATTTTGACTATCCAAAACAACTCCTGTAATTCTTAGCGACAGTGGAAATACTATAATAGCAATCTTGTCCAACATTTCCTTATCTCTTTTCGAAAAGGATGGAAATTGGTCTGCTCCATGGAAAGAGTCTACTCTCATCAACAGACAGCATATATCAGTCGCATTCACAATAACAGAGCACTTGGTGTTCAAGATCTAATAACAGTATTATCAAAATTCACTAGCCCTAAAAGTGTTCGTACAAGTTCCAAAACTATCATTGTTAATATCCAATTTCAAACATAAATACACTCAAGAATTATTTGTCTACAAATTCCCTGAAGTAAACCCTACAAAAGGTACCCTTTTGAGATTTGAATCTTCAAAGGGAGGTACCTACCAATGACAAACATGTTGGCTTTTGCTAACATCAAAAGTTTTTCTCAGCAAAAACTTTTGGTTAATCTAACCCAAGGCATTTAAGAAACCAAATCAAATCTCTATCGTACAATTAGATGAGGACTAGAAAACAATCCAAACCTATTTGTTTCCCTTGAGGTAACACTGCAATTTGGTTCTCTCAATATATCTTCTGCTAATGGTGAATCTTACAATATGCTCCTACCACTGCTTTCATCCAAATGCTTAAAACTTAAAAAGCCTTCGCAGCCTTCCTTTAAGTCTCTTTTTGAAGAATCATATTTTCCTTTGAGATTAAACACCTCTCTTTCACTCTCAGTAGAAGTGCGTTTCTAGATCAACAGCAGTTGTTTTCATTTTCATTGCATTGTATCCTCCAAGTTGTGTTTACATAATGTCAAAAATTTCCAGCGGCTTTTATTTTCCTTTTTTCAGTAGCACATTCACAGCTTTAAAGATGCGAAGTCATTATTAGGGTTTCCTTGATAACCTGCACGCTGTTAGACTAGACTGTCAACAAACTTTTCTACATAAAATGTACTAATAATTATAGCTAACAAAGCGCAAATCTCAAAGAAAATTTAGAATCTTGACTATATCAAAACTCCATTCATGTCTCAATTAACCCCTTTGACAAAATAATTTGGGCAGTATAGGATGGAAATAAACAACAACAACAACAACAACAAAAAAAAAAAAAAAAAAAAAAAAAAAAATAAAAAAATTGAAGAAAGATCACCTGCCCATAGAAAGAATTCCCCTAACATGTTTGATATCACTGAATTCACCAACAACATTCTTCTCCGCTTCCTTTCTTTGCTCTTCATTCATTGGAGCAGATCGTCCACCAACCACATCTGCTACTTGAGCAACAAACCCTTTATCAACCTGCCACATTTTCAGGTTCATAATTCCTCTACTTATCCACTAAAAACCAACTAATTTCTTCTAAGTAGCATTCGGTGCATGAAACAGGACAAAGCGTAGAGCATAACAGCTCCCTTGGTGTTTGGTGAGCACATAGGACAGGACTCAATGTAATTCTGTCCAGTCCATGTCGAAATTCCATCCCACCCCTTCCTATGTGACAGAAAATGTCTTGTCCAAAACCGTCAAATCCCGTCTGCTCATCAGACATACTCATAATATCAATCGACATCATTAAAATAAAAAAATAAAAAAACTATAACATACCCGAAAGAAGTGATTGGTGTCATAGCATCCAAGTCGAACAAGCTTGTAAATATGATCTACGGTTTGGGGAGCCACAGAAGGATAGAATCCAAACTCAATGTCTCCATAGTTTGTCTGAAAAAAAATCCCAATTTCAAAAAATCCATGTGTCACAATAATTCATAGGAGCAGTAATAGATTAATTTCAGAAACACCCATATATATATGAATCATTGAGCAGCAACAAATAATCGAACCTGAAAAACGACACGAGCAGAACTAAGGTGAGGATCCTGAGACGAGGAGGCAGCAACAAGGGCAACAAATGCAAAGGAGACAGCCCACCATGGGATCTTCATATCTCTCTCAAATTTGGCGCCTGGTCTGAAAATAGTTAGTAGAGGGAAAGAAAGAGAGCTGTGAAGGGACAGTCTGACTTTGCTCCGCGATTAATAACCGACTACATGCCATACATAGTCTACGTTCATTCTTGATAATACCGTCACTTGATATATTTAATAATATTATTTAAATATATTAATATTTTTTTATATTTTTTTATCAATAATTAATAAAAAACATATAATATAATATGAAATTCTATCTAATTCTATTTAATAAACATAAACAATAAAAATTAATAAAAAAAAATTTTATTAATAAAATAAATAATATAATATTACAATAAGTCAACTTAACTAATTAAAGTTGGATCTTAGGCACCTACTCTAACAAAAATGCCCTTCGTCTTAAGATGGAAATTTAGAACTCAAGCACTCCAATTCACATTAACTCCATTCCAACTTATTCTTCTTCTTCTTCTCTCCTCTTTTTCATGCTCTTTTTGAAAAACAAAAAATAAAAATACTTTATTTTCCTCGCTAAAGTCATAACTCAAAATTATTGGATGGGCGGTTTGTTAATTGTTATTGTACTATTGCGCTTTTGGAAGTAGCATTAGTAGTCAATAAAGATAGAGTTAACTAATCTACTTCTAAAATTTATATTTTTATTTAAAAAAATACTAGATTTCACAAAAAAATTGTTTTATTTTTTTTATTATAAGTAGAGGTATCTACTTTGATTTAAAATCAATGCAATTCTTTTTAAAGTATCTTATTCAAAGTAAAATAGATTTTATATTGAAAAATGGAAAGATGTTATCCGAAATTAGTAACAAAAAGATCAAAGTAACTTTTCTAAATTTTTGAAGTAATTGTCTCAAGCCATAATCGAGTTGTTTTTTCGGACGATATAGACTATATGTAGAGATTTTTTATACAAAAGATCAATTGTATATTGCACGTTGTCTTAGAAATATAACAAACTTAGTCACCTTGCCGTCTACCTCAAATTTGCAATACTTTTAAGATTTAAAATTCAACAAAATATAATAACACTCTAACCCAATTTTCTAATACAAATAAAGTTAAACAATATGACTTTTAGTGAGAATATAAAAAAGACAAAAAGAAAGTTAATTTTTTATGCAATGTCTATGCTGCACACACTTTGTCAAAAAACAATGATATATGTTGCGGACATGACATCAAAGGATTTGGTGAGCTTGAAAAATAAGAAAATAGAAAAAGAGTCGCTACTTAGTATTGGAGTAACTTGGGAACCTAAATAATTGGTCTACATAGGATCTTGGGTAAGAAGTTGGTTACAAATAAAGAAAATCAAGATCATCGCTACCTTATCTCACTTAAGGTAGGTCGCATTGCATGCACATTTGAATATCAATGTCTAATTTTAATATGCTATGAGACTATGTCTATCTAAGAGAGAGAGAGTGTGTGTGTGTGTGTGTGTGTTTTTAGATTGAAAGTTGATTGATCGAGTGATTTGAGAATTAGACGAAGTCAAAGATCATTATCGTCAATTTGAAATAAAAAGGGTAAAAACAAAATTAAAAGCGATAAGCCATAAACTATGTCAAGTCCATCAACACATTCAAAGGTGGCAAGCCTACAACGATGTGAAGCCCATAAACATATTTAAAAATGGTAAGCTAGAAACGACATCAAGCCCATAAATACATTCAAAAGTGGCAAACCGGGAATGACGTTAAGCCTATGAACACATTTAAATATGATAAGTTGGGAATGGTGTCAAGCTTATAAACACATTCAAAAATGGCTAGCTAGGAATGGTTTCAAGCCTATGAATACATTTAAAGGTGGCAAGTTCGGAACGACGTCAAACCATAAATACATTCAAAGGTGGGGACTTGAGAATGGCATCAAGCCCATAAACACATTCAAATGTGATGAAATGAGACTAACATCAAATCCACAATCACATTTAAAGGTGGCAAGTCAAAAAAGACATGAAGCACTGTAAAAACATTCAAAGATGACCAATTAGAAATGATGTCAAGCTTATAAACACATTCAAAGGTAATGAGTAGGGAATGGCGTCAAGCCTATAAACACATTCAATGATGGCAAGCCGGGAATGGAGTCAAGTCTATAAATGCATTCAAAAAGTGGTGAGTTAAAAATGACATTAAGTTTATAAACACATCAAAGGTATTAAGTCGAGACTAATATCAAGCCCATAAGCACATTCAAAAATAGCGACCGAAATGCATCAAGCCCATAAAACATTCAAGATGGCATGTCAAAAATGACATCAAGCCCATAAATATATTCAAAGGTGGCATGTCGAAAATGGTGTCAAGTCCATAAACACATTTAAAAGTGAACTAGCAATTCATACAAACTAGCCAACTCGGTGTCAACATGCTAAGCCTACATTGGACCATTTTACATATCAAAACATATCTTATTAAAGGTTATAAACCTAATAATTCATGTCAATCAATCAACTAATATGATATCAACGTTCAAAGTCAACACTAAACATTCCAAAGCATCAACACATATCACATATGTTGTAAAATGAGCATGTTTTTGACATTCAAATTTGATGTTGAATACTTTAATTAATTAATACATATCACACATATTTTTTTAACAAATATAGTATTGTCATTTAAAACTAATACCAAACATTCGAACACATTAATACATGTCACACATATCGTTTAATAGATATAGTGTTGACATTTAAAGTCGATGTTGAACACTTTAATTCATCAACACATATCACACATATTCTTTGAAAAATATAGTATCGATATTTAGAGTCGACATCTAACATTTTAATACATCAATGCATTAATGCAATTCAATCAATTTCATCACACATACTATAACTAACACTCGTTATAAATAAACCATTTAAATTAAAAATCATTCTCATCCAGATTTGTCGTAGAGCATTAACACTTACTTTATTTCTTCTCAAGTACACGAAGGTCTTAGACTCCTTTAAGTTTGATACACAGCGACGCATCTTAACTATAATAATGGATACTCGCTAAAACTAAAATTTAATATTAAATACACGTGAAAAATGTTTTGAGATTAAGAAATAATCATTAGGGATTTAAAATAATATTTAGAATAGCCAAAATAGTTTTCCCATGCTTAAGAAATATTTTATTGATTTTACGATGCATGAATAGTATTTTTTACATGAAATAATTAATTAAACAAGTAGTTTATGCAAGAAAAATGTTTTCTTTCCTTAGAATATTTTTTGAAGAGGTTTTAAATTATTTTATGTGATTGTATGAAATTTTCTTGTATGTTGTGAACATTTTATTTGAATTGTTATGTATAAGGATAGTGTTTTTAGAGGTAAAGAATTTACTTAAGCACCTTAAGAGTATGAGAAATTTTTTTGAAGAGCATAGAATAATAATATAGGAGGTATGAGAGTGCCTGTAAAATTTAAACTAATTTTATTAAGTATTGAGAATATTTTTAATAGGAAATAGTGTGATTTTCACACTAAATAATTAATTTCGAGGCCCAAATGAGGTCCAAAAATTATGAAAATTTAAAATAAACTCCATTAATAAATATTTGAATTGATTACTAAAAGAAATTGTATTTTTGAAGAGTATAGGATGGAATTTTAAAAGTAGGGACTAAATTATATAAAATTAAGGACTCGATTGCATAAAATTAAAAGTTTAATAATCCAAATTAAATTATTTAGGAATGTTAAGGGTCAAAATTCAGTCCTAAATACTGAAAATAAAGGGTTACATATGATTATTTGAATAAAAGGAGGATTTAGGAAAGAATAAACCCTAGAAAACTCTAGAAACTTAGAGGACCAAAATTTGTCATTTTCCTCCCAACTTTGGCCAACCTAAATTATTAATTACATCTGACTTGTAGTAAATTTTATGGCTAAAATTAATCTAAATGGAAGGTTTAAACAAAAAGAAGAACAAATGGCCAAAAATTTAGCCAAATAAAAAGAATTGATTGGAAATTGAATTAAAGGCTAAGATTTATCCAAATTAAGGATAGAGATAAGTTCAACAAGTCCACAAAATTATCCTATAACTAGGGGTACTGAAAAAATTAAAAAGAGAAGGAAAATTGAAAAAAAAAACAAAGGAAACTCTTGCAAAAATTTCACTCAAAAACTACCCAAAATAATTTTAACTAATTTTAGACCCTCTAAATCAGTGGATTAAGCTTTAATTTCAAGTTTGGGGCTGAATACCTTCAAGAAAAAAAATTAAAAGAGCTAATTCAAATTTAAGGGGAGGAAGGGGAGGAAGAGAATTTTCAAGCAACCTACCTTTTTAAGGTTAATTTAGAGCTTGATCATGTACGTTAACCTCACCTACACCACAAACATGCTTAATTTCAAGTCAATTTCATGTTTAATTGTTTAATGTAGATTTAATTGCTTAATTAAGAAAAATTAGGGTTAGGGTTCTTGATGAACCAAATTTAGAAGAAATAATTTTAAGCTTATAATTCATGTAATTGAGATATAAATAGGTTGATTTTCCTTGAAATTTAAGTTTGAAACTCAAAAATTTCTAGAATTATTCAAGGTATTCTATTCGGCCTAAACCTTTAATTTGAGGGTTTTCAATTCTTTCAATTAATTGGTATTTTGGCACTTGATTCTGATGTATTTGAGCATGAATTAGTGTTTATGAATGAAAAATTACACTTTAATTTAAGAAAAATCCACTAATTTTTAATAATTATATTCGACCTAAACTAAGCAAATTAGGGTTTGAGTTCAAAGAAATTTGATTCGAATTTGATAGGCCATTCACACTTGAATAAGCATGTTTTGATGAGTAGAAATAAAAAATTTGCTAAAAATAGAAGAAAATGGGTTATATGGGCTTGGGCCCAATTTCAACCCATTAAGACCCAATATGGGTTTCGGCGAGGAATTAGGGTTCTAAATTTTAATTAAATTAATTCTTATAGTAAGTACATATTTAGACTACTTAGTATTAAAATGG